GCAGCTGGGAAACCACCATGGGACTGACCCAGACCCTGTAAATGTGGGTGTCAGTGAGAAGACCTTGGAAATCTATGGGGCATCTTGTAGTGGTTCAGTACTTATCGATGCATCGGAATGGACTTGAGAAGCCCATCCCACATGGAGGGATACTTCCTGAGCCTAGACACAAGGGAGTCCTCCTAGGCCCTATCCCAAAGACTATGACAGAATTTTAAGCCCCCTATGGAAGGCCTCACACTCCTTGGGGAGCAGAAAGGGTATGGGATAGGTAGGGCGTTATTTGGGGGGGCAGGGGAGGGAGAGGGACCTGGGATTGGCATGTAAAATAATTTTCTTTCTAATAAAATAAGGAGGACAAAAAGCCTGGAGTAGCATCTCAGAGTGGACAATTAGTCTCCATCCACATTGAAGACAGGATTGCCCCAGCCTTGGTAGAGGTAAGAGCTCTCTGCTAGCTTGGCTGTTTTGCTTTTCTGATCTTCATCTTGAACCTCAGTACCTGTCTCTGGGTTTTTATTATTCATACTATATTGATTACCTGTTTTCTTTGCCAGAAACAAATCTTAAACCTTCTTTTTAGCCTTTTCAACCATAATAACTGTCAATCCACAGGTCATGAAATGTGAGAATTCTGGCAACTTCAAATATATCTATCCAAATTATACATTCTGGACCTGGAGAAATAACCACAGGATGAGTTCAGGGACCCACAGGACCTGCTGTGAGTCAGACATCAGCCAGAACTCCATTAACCACCTTGTCTTCATGAGCCCCCACTTTAACTGGAGAAGCATGTTTCTTGGGGTTTCCCATAATCAGAGTCAATTCAGAACAAATATCCAATCAACCCTAGAAATTCTGATTGTTTCCTTCCCCTCGGTGTACAGCTACCCTGCTAAAAGGCCTCAGGTCCCTCTGGGGAAGAACTGGAGGAAGGCTAACCACAACTTTTAGGTGTCTTATCAGAATCCCTTCTAGAAGGAACCTGGCCACCCTTCATTCAAGGGATTCTGGGTCTGCACACTAGCTCAAGTCTGGAAAATTATTTACTTGCCAAGACTACCTTTTACCAGGATCTAATGCAGCCTTTCTTTCATTTTCTCGAGATTTTTTTCTGTTTATATAGATCAAACAGAAATCCAGTAGGATTCTTATGTACTTCATGCCTGGAAATACAATGATTGATTAGCCAGTACCAAAGGTCCATATGAGTCATGCCACTATAAAAGTCACCTTGCCTGAGATGACTGTAAAAATGAGTTCTTAATTGGTCTAAATAATAAAAGCCCAGAGTCAGATATAAAGGAAAATGCTGAGAGGTCAGAGAGAAGAAGGAGCAATCCAAAGCCACCTTTACCTCATTAGCATCTCAGTGGACAAGAGAGAGAGTTCCTGTTTCTTCATTCTTATATCTTCTCTCTGTCCAGCCATCTCACTTCCTGTCTGTCTGTGCAGACCTTCAGACCTCTGTGGTTAACTAGTGGCAAGCTCCATCCTCTGAACTTCAGACAGGTTTTATTTGTACAAACAAGATGTCACCACATATCCCCCTTTTTGTCTAAAAATAAAAAAGTTATAACTAATATAAGAAAAACTATATACAATACATATAATAGCAATAAGTACATAAACAATGTCTAGTTCATTAGCATTTGACAAATTCAGAGAAAATACTACATTATCTATTCTTTCTGGATGAGTTCATAGTTCTGTACTTCATTTACTTTCTATTCTAATTTTCATTTTCAGATTATCATTTAATGTCTTTCACCCCTATTACACTTAAAACATCTTTAGTGAGTTTCTTTACTGAGTCTGTAAACATAGAGAACTATAAATATACTATCTAGTCTTCAATCCCCTCAGAGACCTGAGAAGGAAATACTATTAACTGATAGACATTTCTGTGAAGCAGGATATTCTTAAGGACTGGACTGCCTTGTCTTGGCAAGGTTTGCAGTCACTCTTTTTTTAAGATTTTATTTATTTATTATGTATACAACACTCTGCTTCCGTGTATATCTGCACACCAGAAGAGGGCACCAGATCTCATAATGGATGGTTGTGAGCCACCATGTGGTTGCTGGGAATTGAACTCAGGACCTCTGGAAGAGCAGTCAGTGCTCTTAACCTCTGAGCCATCTCTCCAGCCCTGCAGTCACTCTTTTTTGGTGTCCTGTTTGTTCAATTTGGACAGCATACTGTCAGCAGTTGAGGCAAGGGCACTTTCTTGCCCAGTGGCTTACCTTTGTCACAAAGAAAACAAACTCCATGTGGAGTTTCTTAAATGCCCATCATCTCTGATGTAGATTGGTGCTTCCAAGGACAAACATGTCTCATTGTCATAAAAATTAACCTATGTTACTAAAGCATGTTAAATGCCATATTCTGTATGATTCTTGGATTTTATATAATTACATAAAGTCATGTGTGTATGTCTTACATGGCAGTAGTGGTGAAATTAGAGGAACAAAGTGGACCACTGGGAGAGATGAGAAAAGGGAGAATAAGTACTAATAGGGTGAGGGGAATATGCTTGATATCCAATATACACCTATGTAATTTTTAAAATGAAAATTGAAAGTTGTTTGTTTGTTTGTTTAAAGGAGTCGGGAGAAAACAATAACCTGCTTGCCAGTATCTGAGGTAGAGACAGTATAGCCCCAGGGTGATTCAATGGCTTAACTTCAGAGGCTGGCCCTTCAGGCACTTGAGCTGCCTCTTCCAAGCCAGGAGGACTCCTCTGAGACACTGAAATCATCTGGGATGTAGCTCCCCCACACTGTACTTTCTGGCATCTTGGTTTTCTAAGGTTCCCACTCTGTGTGGCTCATATATAATTCTCCCCAAGAGTATTTCTGTAAGTTATTATTCAGCCTCTGTGTTCCCTAAAGTCACATAAGTCATCCCAGGGGAAAGTAAAAGGCAACTTTCTTGTAAAAATATAAATAAATAAATAAATAAATAAATAAATAAATAAATAAATAAATAAGGGCTCCCTTGAATCAGATAGAAGAAACAAAGCAGACTCTTTGGCCTTTCCTTGAAAGATGGATTAGCACCTAACTGGGGCTGCTCATAGGGATAAGAATAAAATATGGACACTTATAAAATTGAGTTCCTGAGATGGGGAAGCCTTGAACTTGAAATCCTTCCATCTGAGCCTTACATTAAAGCCATACGCCTCCATTCTCAACTGTTACTGATTTTTTTTTTTGAAACAGGGTCCATCAGTGGTTCTCAACTTTCCCAATGTAGTGACCATTTAATACAGTTCCACATGTTGTGATAAACCCCAACCATACAATTATTTTCATTGCTACTTTATAATTGTAGTTTTGCTACCATTGAGCAGTAATGTAAATATCTGTGTTTTCTGATGGTCTTAAGCCAACCTCGTGAAAGGATTGTTCAACATCTAAGGGGTCATGACCCACATGTTGAGAATCACTGTTCTACATAGCCCTAGCTGTCCTGAATCTCACTATATAGATCAGGCATGGCTCAAACTCACAAAGACCCATCTGCCTCTGCTTCTTGAGTGATAGAATTAAAGGTGTGTGCCACTATGTTCAGATGATTGTTTTAAATACAAAATTGTTTTTCATTCTTGGGATAAATCTCACCTGGTAATGTTATATTAGTTTTTTATATATTGTGAAATTAGATTCTGTTAACAATTTATGAGGTGTGTGTGTGTGTGTGTGTGTGTGTGTGTGTGTGTGTCTGTGTCTGTGTCTGTGTCTTTGTCTGTGTGTCTGTGTGTCTAGTACAACTTCTTGAGGGATACTGGTCTGTGATTTTTGTGGTGCTACAGAAGGAACCAAAGGTCTTGCACATATGAGTCAAGTACAAAACCACTGAACTATATAGCCCTACATGGTCTGTTACCTTCCTTTCTGTTAATGTTCATTGAAAGGTGCTGATTTAAAATAACTAGTAACTTCAAACTGATACACCCACAAGAACACAGTGATTTACAAAACATCCTCTTTTCTTTCTGAAGGTTTTAGGACTAATTGTTATAACTAACCAGTCTATTACTACTAAACTTAAATGTCCACTCAAGATAAACAGCTCTGAGACCATTCTTCCATCACTGGTTAAGACTATCTGCCCTTCTGAGATTTATGAGCATACTTGATCACCTTGTCAGTTCCCCACCAACCATTTTCCTCATGCCACAAACATCAAAATGACCCAGAGGGGATAGTCAGAGAAGTTCTCAATATACATGGGCTTGACTATAGCCATGTCAAAAATGACAGCACCACCGGATTGCAAGATTTCAGGGCTGTCCTCTAGGTTCTTAATAGGTTTTTATCTTTTCTTTTAACTCAGTAAATCTTCAAGCTATGGAAGCTATATGACAATATAGTACAGGAATATAGCCAACACTATTTTCTTAACAGATAGTTCAGAATAACCACCTGAGTAGTGACACCAGCTGCTTTCATTGGTGGCTCATTTTTGCTGTTACAGAAATGTTGCCACAGTCAACAACTTTCATACACATATTCTTGATATTGAAACTTAAATCCCCATGGTATATTTCAATAGACTTTAGTTTTAAAATTACTTGTCCACTGTGTCAGGTTTCAGAAACCCATCGCTATTCAGCCCATCCTTGAAGGGCAAAAGCAAAATCTTTCTAGATGGGTGAGTTGGTGGTAGAGTGTTATCCATAGCCAACAACAGTATGATTATTCTGGCACTTGGTGATTTTCTACCCCTTTAAACAGGGCACATTAGCATTTATCTCCAAAATGAACTTGCCATTCCAACAATAAATTGTAGTTGGAAGTTTTTCTATGTCCTGCCTGGTCACACAGATACTTACAAAATAATCACTTAGAGGCTTAATATTAATTACAAACTGTTTGCCTATTAGCTCAGGATTATTAATAACTAGCTCTTACAACCAAATCAACCCATTTCTATTAATGTTTGTATCACCATGAGGCCTGTGGCTTACCAGTGATGCTGTGACATCTTTCTCCTCCAGCGGCTGGATAGTATCTCCTCCCTTCCGCCCTTCTTCTCCCTGTATCTCTGCTTGGATTTCCTGAACGACTCTATTCTGCCTGGATATTGGCCAAATCAGCTTCTTTATCAACCAATGGCAATAAAACATATTCACAGCATACAAAAAGACATCCTACATCAAGAAATTGTCACAAATGCTACTGTGTCAGGGTTGTTGTCAATTTCCTTAATAAAGGTGCACACTCCCTTAAGATTATCCTCATATCTTTTCTGGCTGCAAGGTTTCTCTATGGAATACATTTTATAAATGTCAACCATCAGTGGATTCACATTCAGTTTGTAAGCCAGAAGGTCAAGTTCATAAATCTGTCCATTAGAGGTGTCATCTTCAGTTTCACCAACAGCAACAGAAATGACCAAGACTGTTGGTCAGCACAGTCATCCTGAGTTATACCTGTAACCATGCTTTTTTGTAAGTGTCCTGTGACATCAATGACAGTTACATGATCCTTGATGGTCTTATATTTGTGCAAGAAGTCAATGTTAATATCATATTTACATTCTGTTTTTGGTTTATACAAAATCCAGTCACTCTTAATGAAGCCCTTTTCTATCTTAGCAAACTCCTCAATGCTTTCAATGATTCTTTTATTTTTTATTAGTTCAAATTAGTAACAAGCTTGCTTCACATGTCAATCCTCCTCCCTCTCCCTCCCCTCCCCCAAAACCTCCCCTGAAACCTCCAACCTGCCCCCCACCCCATCAAACCTCCACTCCCCAAATATGGTAGGGACCTCGACAGGGGCTCCCCAAAGTCCAACACATCATCCTGAGCCGGGCCTAGGCCCTCCCCCATGTATCCAGGCCAAGAGTGCATCCCTTCATTTGGTATGGGCTCTCAAAGTCCCTTCTTACACCAGGGAAAAATACAAATTCACTACCAGGGGCCCCCTAGAGTGCAGAGACCTCCTCATTGACATCCATGTTCAGGGGTCTGGATCAGTCC